CTCCCAGTCCGCCCGGGGCCCCGTCCAACCGTCGCAGGGATAGCCCCCCACAGACAGACAACCCAGCGCGCCAGCAAAACAATGTACGCGACGCTCTCGGCCCGAATCCACGACCTCGTCAACGCCCACCCCTCCGCCCTCCGCGCCGCGACCTCCTGCTTCGAGAAACACAGCACGGGGATCTTCTGCGTGGCGGCGGGCGGATGTGAGGGCTGTGTTGGAGAAGGGGTGGGGGGAGCGGCATCCGCTTGCGTGGGACGACGGCGGGGCTGGGTGGTGTTGGTGGTGGTGGGCGAAGAGTGTGCCGCCGGGGTTTGTGATGATTTATGCGCCGAGGGATGAGAGGGAGTTGGAGAGTGTGATGGACATTATCCGGGCGGCGGTGTGGTGGGTTGGGGGGACGGAGGTGAAATGAGCTGACTGAAGGATGCTGTGGTGTTTGGTTCTAGCAAGCGAATGATAGATATCCTATGTGACAATGATGTGCGATCTGCTAGTCAGTTTGGTCGAGGCTGTCAGAGCGCCATGTGCTATTGATCAATGAGTGATAAAAGGACCTGCTTGAACAGGGCCTAATCCAGTCTTCAAAACTGCATCAAATTCATTTCATCTACTTCAGACACCTATCAATATGTTTAGTGAAACATAACCATTCTGAATGGATCATAAACGTCGAGCCAGCCTTGACTCTCGAGAACATGAACAACAGATGAAAATTGGTTTTTCAAAAGGCACAAAGGAGTATTTGTTGGAATCGACGCCGGGACGAAAGAAGAAATAAAAGCTAATAGCATAGAGGAATGAAGAGCCGTTAGAGAACATACAAGTACCACCAAGAAGCAAATCCCTTCCGTATGCAAGGTGTCTTTGCCGGCCCTGGTCCCCCAACCATCATCCGCGCAACTCCTCGTCACAGTTTCAGGTTTCCTTCCACTCGTCGTATTATAACATTCTAGCTGTTGTTCGATTTCCTCAGCGCATCGGCGAGCCACTCCAGACCTTCGTACAGACCGTCACCCGTGGTGGCGCAGGTAGATTGGATGTACTAAACATGGATTAGTGAACCGTCAAGAATCCGCACCGGCAGTCAAGCCAACTTACCCAAGCACGACGGGTAAGACTTTGCAGACCAAGCTGCTGGGTGATCTCGGCGGGGCTCATGGCGTTCTAGAAAGTCATCAGTATCACACTGAATACACAAGCGCAAATGGATGTCTCATACAGGCAGATCCTGCTTGTTGGCGAAAACAAGGAGCAGAGCATCACGAAGTTCATCTTCGTTCAACATGCGCTGCAACTCTTCCCGGGCCTCGACAATACGGTCGCGATCGTTGCTATCGACGACGAAAATGATACCCTGGGTGTTCTGGAAGTAGTGTCTCCAGAGAGGCCGGATCTTGTCCTGTCCACCGACATCCCACACGGTGAACTGAATGTTCTTGTACTCGACAGTCTCGACGTTGAAACCTTGACAAGTAAACCCATGTCAGCAACAGCTTCCTTCTCGTACGCGAACGAACGACAACGATTGTCCAGGGTGATGGACCGACGGACGACCCGAAACAGCGGGAATGGACGACTGACCAATCGTGGGAATGGTGGTGACAATTTCACCCAGCTTCAGCTTATACAGGATGGTGGTCTTTCCGGCGGCGTCAAGACCAACCATCAGAATTCGCATCTCCTTTCTACCCCATAGTCTATCGAACAGCTTCGAGAAGGTGAGACCCATGTTGGCGGTGGCGTAAACGAGTCTAAGGGGCGCGCGACGTTGAGGTCAGTCAATCGAACGTACAATCAAGCGTTTCCCTTCTGTCTGATTTATAATGGAGAATATGACAGATATAGGCAGAGAGAAAGAGTTGAAGATCAAAATGCCAAATGACACCGGGGACTGAGTATGGGGTGACTTTGAGAACGAGGGGCGTATTCACACCGGGCAATAACGGTGAGATGGGAGAGTGTGTTCAGGGGACAGGGACAGGGACAGGGACAGGGCAGGGAGAGGGAGAGGGAGAGGGGCAAAAAGAAGGGAAGTAAGTCGAAGAGAAAATAAAAAGAGATTTAAATTACAAGGGTAGACTTACCAACACAGAAGAAGCTGGAGAATGGAAAACAAAACGTGGATACACGAGGGTGATGGTGGTGATGATGATGATGATAGATCGATAGATAGAATTAAGGTAAGATGGAGTAGTAGACAGACCACGCTCTCTCTCTCTCTGTGTCTGTGTCTGTCTTGTTTTTGTCGGTGTTGGAATTTTTGGGTGCAAAATGCCAGGTCGAGAAATTCAGCCGCCGGCGTAGCTTCCGTCACTAACGAAACCACCAGAAATCACCACACTCTGGCTTCTCGCTCCAGGTATTATTGTTCACTTTTGATGGTGTCAAATTTCATCTGATTCTGTTCTTGAGCAATAGTAATGACTCTACAGAAACAAGACCTAACAGTCTTGTCTGCTACTTTTCCATTTATACTACAGCGCTTCTTGAATCTTCTCTGCCTGGACGAAGAGGACACGGTGTTTCCCGTGCATCGGCGCACTAAGAACGGCTCCTTTCAGGGCAGTGATGATACTGAGGCAATCATATACTACTGACTATCACTGCTTGATGACAGCTTGGATGCTGAAAATCAAACGAGTTGCTTGCGCAAAAGTCACTTACGTTGACGCCTATTCTTGCCTGTAATCATTCCATTTGGTGTTTCTTTTCCCCTTTGCTCACACTTCCACTCCCCCCAAATACAGAGGCCCAAAGCCCAGACATTCAGGACCTGGTCCCTTTCTGATAGGTCCCGGTTGGCTCTTGAATCAGCCCCGTCCCAGTGGATCGCTCTGGGTGGCACTGGGCCTAGGTATCTATCGCAATTCGCAAATGTGCCCTGTCTCGTGCTCTTCTCTTAAAGTAACGTGTTATTAATACACACTGGTTATGCCGTATCTCATCGCCACCACTCCCAGGTTGGTGGTTGGCTCCAGATACCCGTCGCTCACTGGTAACGCGAAACCCACAGGGACCACTCTATCTACGCGTCATAATCATAAGAAGCCGTGGATGCAGGTAGATCTGGCTGTATCTAATTTCGAAAAATTACGAGCATCCTTTCTTCAGATTCAAGTCGACTGTGGGGAGTCTCATGGTGCTTGTTCATCGTCGTTTGTGCATCAAATCTAGTCGACATGTTTTCGCTGATGCCCGAGTTTGTCCTTGGATGAGGAGATAAACGTCCGCGACAATGATTGATAGATTGGCTTGCCCTCGATGGTGCCGCTGGCGTAACCAAAGAGAACAAGGACCAGCAATGACAGGACCATGATGACTGCGAAGCTGACCCAATATTCGGTCTGCGTATACACTCCTTTGACACCTCTGAGTTCGGTCGAAAAGTATGCGGTCATCAAACTGACTGGCAAGAATAGAATCGTGATTTTCGCCAGCAGAATGGTGATTCTCGTCAGCTTCTCGACAGCCTGGGAATCTTTCAGGGCGATCAAGTTGAAATTCTGGACAACCTAGTCAACAAAAGGCTACATTTGGAAGCAGAGAGGTGCTCACTGACCAGGAATGTGAGGGATTCTTTCTCTGTCAAGCAGGCGTCGATTTCAGATAAGCAATACAGTTTGATGCGATCAAGCAATCTTTCGAAGCGAGCAACGGCTGCAGAGCTCAATCGCACGCCCACAGAGTTTTCGGAATTGGTCCACAATTCTGGTTCTCTCTGTAGCGCTGAGAATCGAAGTGCTTCACCGCCCCGTATGATATGCCCAGGTGACATTTTCGGGTGTCGTGAGCGAGCTTCATCGCGCAGCAGGCGCTGTCTCTGAAGCACACGCGTCAAAATGAGCTCGTAGCTCTGGTACAGGCGCCGTAGCACTGCCAATCTTCTACCCAGCCAATGTAATTGATTTACCAAGTCGACGATTGGTTTGTTCAACATATCCTCTCTCTGTTCTCTTAAATCAGTACCTGAGCACGAACCACCCGTTTGTAAAGTGAATCTTACCAGTCGATCCAGCAAGATTCCATATTTATGCTCACGCTTCGCAATTAGAGCATAACTCGACACCCAGTCATCGAAGATGTAGTAAAAAAGCAGGCCAGGGCCATCGTCCTGATGAATACTGACGTGGTCCGAACGAGGGTCATTGAAAGCTCGCACTCGAATGGTGACCAACGATTCACTTTCTGATGAAGCGGAATGCTGCTTGGAAACACCTGAAAATATGATCTGCACGTTTCTGCGAACAATTCCCAGAACCGACTTGACTTCCGATTCTGGGCTTGGCTCTGATATTCTAGGATACGGGTTCTCTTGGATCGATATGACAGTCCCTGGGATCGTCAGCAACTGGGGCTACAATTGTGCTAGGGCTGTCTGCACCATCGTCGCAAAGGATTAACCAGGACCATAATCTTTTCCCACTAGGCAGGTCTCGTCCGTTTGATATATCAACGTTCGGAATCACGTATAACGAGTTATACCCAACACAAGTGTCTGGATTCAGTCAGCATTCGCCAGTGATGATGGGAATCTCCGAGTTTACATCGAGGGCCATGATCCACCGAGCAAAAGTGCCAAATCTGGTTTGTGACATGGGCAAACGTAAGGCCTCGGAATGACGCTGCCTTCTGGATGTCGTCTGGATCCGATAAGTTCTTCAAAGAGACGGCCTCCTCAAGATCTTCCATGCGAGGACGATGCGATCGATCAATGCTTCTGTGGAAGCTAGCCCTCAGAGACTGCACAGGTGCTGGAGCTTTTGGCGGAGCTGCAACGGGATCGGTACACATCATCCCCTGCAGCCTTTCCGAGACGCCGTAGTAGCTCGTAATTTCCTAGACCGTCAGCGTTTTGTACGCTTGTATATCATTCCTGGCGAACCTTGATCGCATCCTTCTGTTCTTCAGGGGCCCAAATATTGCTTCGACCAGACGTCGTCAGTATCAATATATGAACGACAGATAACAACTCACATCCACCTAGTCCCGAAACATTTTGGTTTCTGAAGCTCCACGTATCAACATCTCTTGTCGCCCATGGCCATACGAATGCGACTTACTGGCTTCCGCAGCAACAGGCCGAAATCCTCCTGTCCCAGATTCATCGCACACCAGGCATCATCATTCCCGAAATCCAGCACGAAATTCTGCGTCTGTGCATCTCGCAGGCGTCTGAGATATGCATGAAAACAAGACTCCTCATCAATATCGCGAAATTTATCCTGGAGGGCTGGTCGACCTGTAAAGCTCGCGTAGTACTCATAGGGGTTCTGGTCGTGACTTGCTAATGAGCCGGACATACTGTTTCCAGTTTACCTAGGTATATACCTGTACGATCCTCAAGTCTCAAATAATCTCTACACTGAACGAAATCCGAGTGAATTGAATAAAGAACACAAATTAAGCCCAAGGGGGGCATCGCAGAGCAAGAGTGATATTAATATACGGAGTATGCTCCAGGCCAAGCGCCCAGTCAGCGCCTAATCATAAACCCGCAGATAATAGCCCTCGTGTGGCTGCCGGCTGACCCTGACATCCGCACGAATCGATGTGTTACAGAATGCACGGATGGATTACCATTGTTGCTTGATTGTTGCTGTTCTTGCATGCAGCTGACTCGTCTGTTTTCCACACGGGGATGCCCTGTAACTAGGTATGTGGCAAGTTCATGCTGCTACTGATCAATTTTCTCGAGATTATCCAAGTGTAACTTGGACCTGAATACATTCGTGCAGTATATGTGTATTGCTTTTTACTATTCTTATGTGGCCAAGGCGTTGACCTCCATGTAAATATTTACAAATTGAATGACACCAAATGTGCTCTGTGACAGCATCACGTGGGGGCTATCGGAAGGCCTCAATTATGCAGCTCTATTTATGACTCAAATCAAAAACCAGAGTCACTACCCACTACCGGGAGCACATTCACACAGAGAGGTCGCGCTCTGATTCTACAAACAGGGACCCGTCAAGCGCCTCAGTACACCTTCAACTTTTACAGTGACCAAAACACAAGACTAATTCGTAATGCTCGTTGTATGTCATTTTGTGTGGAAAGGGCTCAGAAGTGAGAATCTTCTCCTCGTGGTGTCAGGTTCCTGCCTTTGTGGAAATAAGCCAGCTCGTGGCATTCCGTATAAACTAAGCGGTTAAGGACTGTGGGAAATCAAGACCGAGGTTCTCCAAATCCCAGATCTGCCCTAATTCACCAAGATCCATGTTGAAAAGCTCATGAAGGTCTGAGGACGGAGGTGCCAGCGGTTCCAGGGAGGAATAACCTGACATTGTGGGAACATATGTTTCAGGGCTGCGCATGTCTAAAGGCTGCAGATTGTTATTAATGGCAAAGTCGATGCCGGGGACCGCACTCAAAGGTAACTGGGAGTCAGAGGGCGTCTTCAACCCTGTAAGCGGGTTGTCGGAGGACTTGGAAAGCAGGATCAATTTCTCCTCTGGGGTCAAGGAGAGCTTGTTCACAAGTTTTGAGAGCACTGAGTGGCACATTGCGGCGGTGTTCGTGTTGTGGATAATCTGTTCTAGTGTGCCCAGAGCCACGCCGATTGCTTCAATGACCTTGTCTCGCTGCGGGAGACATCGTCCAGGGTCGTGGATGATGGCCGAACATAGGCTGGCGGCTGTGTCGAACATCGCAAACGGGGCAAAATGAAACTTGGCGTTTGAAGGCAACATGCAATCAAGTAGCTGGTGAGCCGCCTGGATCAGTTTCAGTGCAATGTCAATGGCAGTGGGCTGGAGGCTTTTCTCGATAGAAGAGGTGTCTTGATGTACGTCTCTTGTGAGACATTGTTTCAATGGCATGAGCATGACCAGATAGGCAATAGCATGCAGCTGATTGCGCTGCACCTCCACGTATTTGTAACTACGGTCCCATTGCATGTCAGGATTGACAAGCCTATAAGCAGGCGGAAATGAAGCAAGCCATTGTTCGGTCTCTTGTTGAACAGTGACGGCGTTTGCGGGAGTCATCGTTCCACCCATCACCCCTGGTATCTTGGACAAGGCCTGGCCGAGTTGACACTGGAGCGCCATGTGTACTATAGGCGAGGGCACGTCCGCTTCAATATGGTCGCTTTCCAACCTCACATTGGGCATTTCAAAGGAGCAGTAAGTGCTGTTAATGATAAAAGGGCGGGATAGCATTAAGGACATTTGCCTTGCTAAGTGAGCCTCGAAGTCTAAATAAGATGAAAAGGCAGCTTACCAGTCCCAACTATACAGGATACACCACAGACGTCGCCTCATTTCCTTGTCAAACTCTGGAAGTCCTACCTTAGCGAGGCTCTTATGCATGCCTATTCGATGAAGATGTTCGAAATTAGCGCCTTTTTTGATGAGCGACTAGGACTCCCTATTACCTAACTCTTGGGCCTCGTGGATGGCGGAGCTCAAGGCATGCCACGATTCAACAAACATGGCTTCGGCCTTATACCAGGATGCCGTGAGAAATAGTTGCTGAACTTGTGTTAGTCTTCCTTTCCCTGGAGCAATGGTGCTGCTCAGTTGTTTGGCCGCATGATGGTAACGCTCAGAAAGGCTCTCAACACTTTCTCCCAATTCCATTTCGAGCTTCTGCCTTAGGCCAGCGTCGAGGAATAATGCTGAACATGCGCATGTCCGTAGTAATAGACAAGTAAACTCTGAAGTCAACGGCTGGCCGCTGGCTTTACCCGACCACCATGTAGAGTAATCACGTAGGAACATTGGTGGATAGAGGCAATAGTACTGCGAGTTCGTTTCGCGGATATAGTGTTGTACCAAGATATCTAGAATTGTGTGAGCTCGTTTTTCAAGCGCAGATATTCGTGCACATACCTGTATATGGCTTTGGTGGGATTACACGTAATGCATTCTCCATTTCTGGAGAATATGATCCTTGTGGCTTCTTTGCAATTGCAGCAGAATCCTGTCGAAGACTTAGTTCACAGAGAAATTCTAACAATCTTTCGTCGAAAAAGCATACTCCGCTTGTATACTCTCCTGATTGAACCTCAGGGAGGTACCCCAAGACCTTGAAGTCCTCTCTACTGTCCTCCATAGCGATCCCAGCCATGGGGGAGGTCATTGGCCCTTTGTCGACGCTAATAGCGCGAGGAGGATCGACTGGTCTAGACAAGTTTTAGCCAAGAACGGGAGAAGTGAAAATATCCATAGCGAACCTCGAATCATCAACAGTTGCTTTACTCGCTCTCAACACCTTCGGTGCAAATTTACATAGGTGGGCTATTCTTCTTGCTTGACAATGATTACATGGCCATTCACGGCTGCACTATGAGGTAGGTCAGAGCATGTCAAGGATGCTTCTCCAGATTACGGCCTTGGTTTGCTTGCCTTCTGCTTCCGACGTTGACATTCTGTGCAAGACTTAGCAGCCAGGCGAACGGCTCGACCGTTCTGAGGCTCGTTGACCATCCTGGGCGATCTAACTCATCAGGAATGTATTAAGACACCATCATTCATTGCGCACTCAAGTAGTAAAACCGAAGTGTTAGATTGTTGCAGAAATGAGGTATGATTGATCGGTGTAAGCGCCACTGAGCTAATCGATCGACAATAAAGCCTAGGTACCTACCTGAGGTAGGTAGTTGTTTATGAGCATAAGGTTATTTACAGCTTAGTAATTAATGACTCTAGTTAGGGCAAACCTAGTCCCCAATCAGGCTAGTGTCATCCACACCCACAAGCGGAGAACGGGATTTTCTCATGGCGGACAGCGAGCCGAAGTCTTTTTCTCTCGTCCTTGCCCCGATATTCAGCGCAGAGCCACACCATAAGAGTTATTCTTTTGGAAGACTGTCGCCATCATGTCTAAGATCACAGTCGGTATGCATAAGAATCTCGCTTGCGACTATTGCGAATCAGCAACTAATTTATTGCCTCGTTACAGCCGGAGTGCGCGAGAATGTCGAGCAGCTGCTCAACTACTCTCTGAATGAGAAGAAGAGAAACTTCCTCGAGACCGTCGAGCTTCAGATCGGTCTGAAGAACTACGACCCCCAGCGTGACAAGCGTTTCTCTGGCACCATCAAGCTGCCCACCGTTCCCCGCCCCAACATGACCATCTGGTACGTCAACTTTTCCGACCGGCCAATCCTTCAATGAAGAGTTCTCATATAAATCATGAGGGAGGAGGATGAGGTCGCACATAGATCTGGAAATAAGGTTGCTGACCGTGATTGTCTGCAGTGTTCTTGGTGACCAGCACGATCTCGACCGTGCCAAGCACCACGGCATCGATGCCATGTCCGCTGATGACCTGAAGAAGCTCAACAAGAACAAGAAGCTCATCAAGAAGCTTGCTCGCAAGTACGATGCCTTCCTTGCTTCCGACACCCTCATCAAGCAGATTCCTCGTCTCCTGGGTCCCGGTCTGTCCAAGGGTATGTATTCTCGGTTCCCACAGCACGCACTGCGCGCGGCATTGCCTCTTAGCAAGGGCTAACTCTACGCAGCTGGTAAATTCCCTACCCCCGTCTCTCACAACGAGGACATGGCCAACAAGGTCACCGAGATCAAGTCTACCATCAAGTTCCAGCTTAAGAAGGTTCTCTGCCTCGGTGTTGCCGTTGGCAACGTCGGCATGACCCAGGACGAGCTCGTCGCCAACGTTATGCTGGCCATCAACTACCTCGTCTCCCTGCTGAAGAAGGGCTGGCAGAACGTTGGCAGCCTTGTCCTCAAGGCTACCATGTCTCCCCCTAAGCGCCTCTACTAGATTCTCTGCGCAATTAGCTTTGTGTCGGGGTTTCTTTAGGAGCTCAGATGTGGGATTGTATATGCCATAGATAGGAAATGTGATGTCCACGACTTGTTCCTAAAACTTTTTTTTTTTTTTTTTTTTTTTTTTTTTTTTTTTTTTAATTTTTTTTTTTTTTTTTTTATTTTTTTCTTTTTAAAACATCTCCACACCCACAAAAAAAATGGGAAATATTTCAGCTCCTTTTTTCTTACAAAAAAAAAAATATAATAACAATATAACCTTAATACATAATCCACGTATAACATCTTCACTCTCAATTCTCCAATCGTATATTACCATTGTAGCATCTATGTATATTTTGTTATCTACTTTCTGTGTCACTATT